CTGTAATGACCATCCGATTCCGCTTAGGAATTCCGGATTTGAGCGGATCCGGAATCGGTGGGAATTGCTAGGAATTCCCGGGAATCCCGTCCAATTCCGGAATTACAACTTGTGTTTTTATTCTATCAATCTTAATCGATGTAATGAGGGTGTGGATGTGGGTGTGGGTGAGCGTATCGGTGTGGGAGTGGATGTGGGAATGGGTGTGGGTGTGGGTGTGGGTGTGGGTGTGCGTGTGCTTGTGGGTGTGCGTGTGGGTGTGCGTGTGGCTGTTTGCTGCGGTTCTGTGGGTGTGGGTGTGGGCGTGGGCGTGGGTGCGGTTGTGGGTGTGGGTATGGGTGATGAGAAGATATCCACACCCACTCCCACACCCACACCCCACACCCACCAATATCCCCACCCTCCAGTTATAAGCCTCAGCTGATGACTGTGATACCAAGGCTCAGCGATTCCGGAATCGCTAGCAATTCCGCGGAGTTCCTTCCAAATCCTTGCGATTTCGGATTCGTCGGATACTCTCAATTCCGTCCCTGAATTACGTCCAGTTATACGCCTTAGCTCATAAGAGTGATACCAAGGCTGAGCGATTCCGGAATCACTAGGAATTCCGCGGAATTTCTTCTAAATCCTTGCGATTCCGGATTCGTCGGATATTCGCAATTCCGTCCCTGAATTACGTCCAGTTATACGCCTTAGCCGATAAGAGTGATACCAAGGCTGAGCGATTCCGGAATCACTAGGAATTCCGCGGAATTTCTTCCAAATCCTTGCGATTCCGGATCCGTTAGATAGTCGGAATTCCGTCCCGGAATTACATCCAGCTATAAGCCTCAGCCGATGAGAGTGGTGCCAAGGCTGAGCGATTCCGGAATCGATAGGATCTGTTGTAAATGATTCCGGAATTGGATTGTGGCGTGGTTGAATTTAGTTCCGGAATCGGTGGAATAGATTCCGGGATGGGAACTGATTCCGGAATGTTCAACATCGCGGAATGGGATATATTCTCAATTCAACCACTCCACTCTTTGTTGCCGAGAGCCCAACTACAGCCCAGTTATGATTATGATTCACACAGTGAACGGCCGGACGTACCCGATGAATGCAAGAATGGATCACGATGCCACTTTTACTTACTCCCATGATGTCACCCGCTACACCTGGATGAATCGTATTTCCATCGAAATCAATTTTAACTAGTGATGAGGCTGTAATTTCACGGAAGTTCAAGCCTAAAGTGTTGATTAATAAGTGACGTTCTCCATTTGAACCAGCTACGCTACAAGTAATATTATTATAGATGGATTCTAACCATCCACTTTTCGCAGCTAGCCGATAAGCAGCAGCCAATTCGATTCATGCTTTCTGTTCATCAATACTGAATTCATGCAGGATGGAACGACTCAAACGTTCACATAGGTATTGACGAGAATATTTGTAGGAGCCAGGTACGTGGATCTTCGGATTGAATACATTTCGAAGATCTTCCTCTGTTGCTCGTGGTTGTGTGATTGGTTTCCTATCTTTATCATGTGGTGCAACTTCATTTGCATTATGGTGCAAGCTATCATCAGAAGGACTGGCAGAGCCGTTCGAAACAGTAAGTCCGTTGGAAGACATGTCGAACAAGATCAACAGTTACGATATTAAAGGTAAGATCGAAAATGTAGTGTTTGTTCGATGATTGTATGCTTCTGTAGGTTGCCTAGTGCAGAGGAGAAAAGAAACGAACTTATCTCTTGCTTGGTGCACAGATGGATGAAAGAAAAGAAAAAAAAACATCTGTATCCTCTCACTTGTAACAAAAAAGCGGCGATCGTACTTTGTCTCATTTTACACGACCTTTAATCCCTTTTCTTATCTTATGCAATTAAAGAAGTACTCGTCTATCATATCATAAGATTTGCTTTGCTTCGCTTCTTCTCGTGATGGATGCTTCTAGTTATCATAGAATGGTCTATTTGAATTCAGAAAGAATTCAAGGCAAAAAAGGGTGTGGGTGTGGGTGTGGGTGTGGGTGTGGGTGTGGGTGGGGGG